GGGACTGTCACCAAACTAGTAGAGAATCTGTGTTGTTCTGACACCCCAAGGAAGCCGACGATCCAAATGCCGTGTCTCACCAACCCCACTTCTGCTACTGACGGCTTCCCTTTGTGGCTTTTGGGGGGGACTAGATCCTGTGAATAAGATGACTTAATCTTTGCTTTTTGTTTTAATTTTAATTCTATAATTTGAGATCTTTCCAGGGCCTACAGGCCTGTAAGACAGCTTAGTCTGGCCTGTGCAGAAGTGGGGAGTGATGGGCAGGTTAGGCGGCCTAACATTGTTCAGTTGTCCAGGCGCATGGCCCCTGCGGTGTGTACGTGATCTCAGCTTCTTTTGTCCTAGGTACGCCAAGGGCAGGTTTCTGGAGACTCCGGTGTGCCCAGGATGGCAAGGGCACCGGACTGGGTTTTTCCACATCTGTCTCTTCATTAGCAGAAAAGTGATGATGGATTTTATTTCACTCACACTCCAATTTGTAATAAAATGCCAAATTCTGTCAGAAGCTATCCAAACAAGCCACCATTTGTTCTTGTTGCTTCTCTTGATCCAGAAATGTTGCCATTCTTGGAAACTGTCCCATTGCTTCATATTTCTGCCAATGTAGCTCTGCCTGCCTGTCAGCCCCTCACTTCACTCTGCTCACCACGGGTGGATACCTGCGTGCCGGCAGCCCCTCAGGGACTCTTCAGCCCTGGCACTGGCACCCCAGGGTTGGCCCCATTAGCAGAGGCCTGGCTTTTGAGCCAGTGGGTGTCTCTTCCTCGGGCCTGGGGGGCTTCCTCCTGCCAGCTGTGCCCTCAGGGTAGGCTCTGAGCAAGCTGGTGAACAGCCCTGGCTGCTCCAAAACCAAAAAGCTGGGTCCTCTGGAGGGGCGAGCTGTGGAGCAGCCACCCACCGCTGCCCCGAGCTCACTCAGGAATTCACACCCGCCTGGTTCCTTGAAGTGTGCCGGGTCCTTCCCTCTGCTCCCTACTCCCCACCACGGCAGAGAATAGGCTGTCTAAGATGCTGTGATCCCGTTCTGCTGCCCTTAATAAAAATGCTCTCAGACACTGGTTAGTCGTGTGGGTTTCTTCCTTCCTGGGAGTGGGCAGTGGCAGGGGCCTATGCTCTTGGAGATGGGAGATGGGAGGGCTGGCTAGGGCCAGGTCCTGGGACTGTTGATCTCTCTACCCATTCCCAGCCTCTCCAGAAGAGGTACCTAGAGGTGTTCCTGCCTCCCTAAAGGGAAGGAGATGAGGTATAATCAATGAGAAAAGCCAGGGAGTCTGGACAGTTGGGGTCTGCAGAGGGTGCTCTTGGGTGTCTTGTGAGGGGAGAGGGACTGCCATCCATGGGTGCAGCATTTCCATTCGTGGGTCATCCTGAAGCCCCCTGGGAGTGTTATAATCCATGTTGAGAAGAAGCAAACCTGGGATCCCAAGAGGTCACAGAATTAATAAGGGTGTGCCTGAGGGTAGGGCTGGGCCATTTCCATGAATGGTGCCAGCCAGAAACACTATGAGTCTCCAGTACAGCCCACTGCCAGGGCGCTGCAACAGTGGTGCTGACTCAGCACAGGGCTCAGCCAGGCCCAGGAGTTTTTTTGGCCAGGCCTTCCCTGCCTGAAATTTGACACCAGCTGAGACCAGGCTTGCTCTGTCAGCTGGATCTGCAGGTCTTGGGGAAGAAAGCTTCCTGGGGTATCATTTTATCAGCCTTTAACATACCTAGCATCCTCTTGAGTTTCAGGAGAGCCCTGTGGCATCCTTAACCCTGCTTTTACAGAAAATACCAAGACCTCTGGCCTGTTTTTGTTCGCATTCTGACTGCAGAGCCTGTTGCATTCCACCACTTAGCACATTTCTTTCCACAGAGTCCCTCTGAGCCCCGAAACAACCACACTTAACCTTCCTCCCCAAAGCCAGAGACCTTCTAAGTCCCCTGTCAACTTCCTGTTCTCTGCAGCTTCCAGCCACCATTTTCTGGCCTTCTGCACTATTAATTGTTCAGCTTGAAATAAGCATCCATATTTCATCACTCCTGTACCCACTGCAGCCTGACTAATGTTACCTGCTGCCCCTTGCTGCTGCTTTCATTTGGTGCCATCTAACCCAGCCCTGAAAGAAGCCAGAGCTGCTCTCAGCAATCTCCATCCTGTCCTGCCTGGCTCTTCCTCCTCTCCCTGCTTCCCAGGTGTGGTGTCAGGGAAGGGCACCAGCCGGAACAGAGGGGAGATGAGGGTACCATTGCTCCCAGTGCAGTGTAGTGCCTGGCCCAGGCCATGCCTGGTTAAGCCACGTTCCAACAACTCACTCATTTCCCAGTTTATTGGAACGTGTTCTTGTTTACAGAGGGCTCCTGGGGAACCCCGGAGGCCTCAGAGGATCAGAGTAGAAAGGGCCACTATGCAGAGGCCATAACTGAGGCCCTGGGAAGGAAGTCACTGTGCTGGCCAGGTTCAAAAATGTGGATCCACATGTTGCTGCAGGTTTCTCCACATCTCCCTCTGGATGTCATCAGATGACACTGACTGTCCCTGTGTGTACCAGACTGGGAGCTCCTGGCAGGCTAGGCCCTGTTTCAGCCCCAGCCCTGGCCTGGCACAGAGCGGACCTTCCAGACATGAATGCTGAGTGGGTGGGTAGCAGTGAAGCACTTGGTTAAGATGCACCCCTGCTGCTGCACCCTCCAGCCCTTGTGGGCCACCAGTTACCACCCCAGTAGGTCCTTAGATGCTTACCACTTTCCTCATGAGGTGGGCCTCAGTTATCTGATTCTCCTATCAGTCTATACCCCATCACTTCACTTTTTTTTTTTTCGAGACAGGCTCACTCACACAGGCTGGAGTGCAGTGGCACAATCACTGTTCCATGCAGTCTCTACTTCCCAGGGTCAATTGATCCTCCCACCTCTGCCTCCTGAGTAGATGGAACTACAGGCTTGTCACTATGTCCAGCTAATTTTTGTATTTTTTATAGAGACAGGGTTTTGCCATGTTACACAGTCTGATCTTGATCTGCTAGCCTCATGCCTTCCTCCAGACTCAGCCTCCCAAAGTGCTGGGATTACAGGCATGAGCCACCATGCCCAGCCAGCTCTCTTTTTTAAATAATAGAAATGGCATCTTACTATATTGCCCAGGCTGGTCTTGAACTCCTGACCTCAAGTGATCCTCCCACTTCAGCCTCCCAAAGTGCTGGGATGATAGGTTTGAGGCACTATGCCTGGTTCCTCAAGGATGCTCATGGTCAGCCAGGCACTGTGGCTCACACCTGTAATTCCAACACTTTGGGAGGCCAAGGTGACCAGATCTCTTGAGCCCAGGAGTTTGAGACCAGCATGGGCAACATGCTAAAACCCTGTCTCTACAAAAAAATACAAAAATTAACCAGGCACGGTAATGCATACCTGTGTTCCTAGCTCCTTGGGTGGCCAATGTGGGATATCACCTGAGTCTGGGGAAGTCGAGGACTGCAGTGAGACATGATTGTGCCACTGTACTCCAGCCTGGGTGACAGAATGACATCCTGTCTCAAAAAAAAAAAAAAAAGGCTCATGGGTCCCCAGAGTTGCTGTCAACTCTTTGCTCATCCCTCTTTCCCTCCCTGGGTGGACAGTAGCCACTCATCTAGCATCTGTACAGACCCCCAGGTCTCCTGCCCACCCACACCTCTCTTATGAGCCTTGAAGCTGCACAACTAGCTGCCTCCTCCTCTCAGAACACTTCTGTAATAGAAGCCCCTCAAGGGAGCTGCATCTGTGCTCCCAGCTAACTTCAGGCCACCCCTCTCCCAAGCCCCAGCTGCAGGAGTGTAGGCAGATCTCAGTGGGCTGAGGCGAGGAGATACAGGCTAGGCAGCAGGAGGAGAAACCGTACAGTGATTCTAGCTCACAAGCATGGATGCAAGAAAGCAGGAAAAGTGCTGTGGATGGGAGAGTCCAAGTCTAACGAAGGTCAACGTGAAAGATGAGTGTGGAGCCAGAAAAGGGGACTGAAGCCACAGTTAAGGGGATGGGGCATGGGTGGGTGTAGGCAGGAAGGAGTGACATCCCACACTCACCCTTCAGAAAGCCACACGTCCCTCTGAGCTGCCTAGGCTGAGTGAGAACTCTCTTGGCCCCTGATTCCCTGCTTGACCCAGGCTAGGGCCGTGCTCTGCCACTCCTGCCTCTACCCCTGTAAAATGGGAACACTAGTGCCTGCCTCGTAGATCCTATTTCATGAAATGAAACAAGGACCACATGTTGTTCCATCTGCCTTTCCATCCTCCAGAGTGGGCCAGAAGGGCTCTGTGCGCCAGAGGACTCCCACTGCCTTTCCCATCTGCTCCTTCACCTCAGGAGCCTTCACCTAAGCCACATAGGGCCCTGTTGCATCACCTGGTCAAGTTAGGAACTGCAGTATCCCATTTCCTGGGAAAACTGCTCCTCCTAGAAAAATTCATTATTATTTCTTTATTTTGAGACAGAGTCTCAAAGTCTGTCACCCAGGTTGGAGTGCAGTGGCTCCATCTCAGCTCACTGCAACCTCCACCTCCTGGGTTCAAGCAATTCTCCTGCCTCAGCAGGTGGTGTGTACCTGTAATCCCAGGATCACAGACCACCGCACCCAGCTAATTTTTGTATTTTTAGCAGATATGGGGTTTCACCATGTTAGCCAGGCTCATCAGGTGATCCACCTGCCTTGGCCTCCCAAAGTGCCGGGATTACAGGAATTTAAATGTATTCCCACGGGGTTTCAGGGTCTCCTTGTGCCTATTCCCTGGAATGGCTTACGTCTGAACTGGTGACTTCTTAACATTGTGATTATAGTATTATGCCTCTTCAAAGGCAGCCTAGTGAGATAATCTTTTCCCACTCCCACCCTTAAAAAGGAATACAATCTCAGCACGAACAAAACCAGAATGGAGAATGGGCCATTTCCTGGAATGGTTTGAGCCAAGAAAGAGCTGTTCTTTGTCAGTGCTTGTTTCTGTGAGGGTCTCCTGGGCACAGCTGATAAACCACGCAAGTTTGAAAGACACATTTTATTAATATAGGCATCTCTCCCCACTGCCTCAGTAGGGAAGGTGTTTGCTTTGCAACATGTAGGGGCTCCAAATGCCCTGCAGGCCCTAACCCACTGCTAGAGGCCGGCCAGCCTGCAGCCAGGAAGGCTGCTCAAAACTCTGGATGCCATTTGGAGCCATAAAGACGTGGGCCCATAGGTGGCAGTGTCCTACCCAGGGAAATCACACCCTGCTCCTGGTTCTGGGCTGGGCCAGGACTAAACCTGGGCTCCCTTGTTTGGTACTAAGGGGATTAGTGTGTGTAGGGGTCAGGGTAAGGAGGGCTCCAGGAAGGGTTCCAGAGTGGCCTCACAGGGGACCTCCTCCCCTGGCCTCTTGGAGTCCAGGTCGTCGAGGGCGCAGAGCTGCACGCCATCCTGGGCAAGCCGGGCCCGCAGCATGGGCGCAGTGAGGACACGTAGCTCATGCAGCCGTTCCCAAGAACAAGAGAAAGCATCGGGGCCTTCACCGCAGCCCCCGGTGGGAGGCACACTGGGGTAGCCAGGATGCACCATCAGCTCGGCTGTCAGAGTGTGGCCCGCTAGGGTACCTTCAAGGGCCCGTGCCAGTGCCCCGGACACGCGGTTAGCGGACATGTGCCGTCCGCAAGTGCTCAGGCCCACGAAAGCGTCTGTCCACCTGTGGGGGCCGGGGGCATCAGCAGCGGGGTCGGGCTATGGCCAGAGCTATATTAGGGACGGCGCGGGGAGTCGGGGGCGGGATTACTGGGGTGGCGGCAGCGGTCGACACCAGACTCGCTTTTGGGTTGAGAAATGGACACGGCTAGCCAGGTGAACAGCCAGTGCAGAGGGACGGGGCAGCGACGGTAGGAGACGGGGTGGGGAGCCTCACCGCAGGCCGTGGCGGGAGAAGGGGCCCACGGCGGCCCAGGCGTCGCGCTCCACAGCGCAGGCGAAAGCGCGTGCTGGGGCCTCCAGCCAAGTGCAGCAGCCCACACCGCGCTCCAGCGGCAGCCGCGTAAAGCGCACCCCATAGGCCTGCAGCGCCTCGGCGAACACCTGGCACACGCCTGCGGGCGGAGTGGGCTCAGGGAGGGGTAGGTCCCTTCATCTGAGAGCATCGACCTTCCCCTACTCCCCAGCCCCGCATGGAAGTAACGCCTTCCAAACTGGGATCACTAACCACGCACCTGGGAGCACATGCACGTGCTGGTGACCGTCCACGTGCGTGGGGGCCCTGCCCAGCAGCTCCCGGAAGCAGCTTAGTTGGGCCTCCAGCTCTTCCCGCACCTAGAGGGAGAGCGAGAGGCACCTTTAGCGACCCGGAGCACCTGCCGAGGATCCCCTCGTGCTTCCGTGTGACTGCTCCAGTGTTTGAATGAGGAAATCAACCACCGCCAGCTCCGGCCCCCTAATGGCTTCACAGTACCCTCCGGGCGGAACTCTGGGGGTCTTCGCGAACATCCTCCTGCAGCTGCGGCTCCGCACCTGGGGCAAAGCCACGTCACCGGCCGCCACCGCCTCTCGGAATCCCATCTTGCCAAGGAAGAAGCCTTCCGGGCCTATCAGCGACGAGGCGCCACGGCGAGCTGGGCCCACGGGGCGGCCCTCGGACAGGTTGGCGTGGAGGCCGGTGGGGATGCTGTGCCTGCAGGCGGAGCGCGAGCTGGAGCACAGGCGGCCGCGAGGCCGCGCGCCCCAAGCCAGCCGCCGCCCGGCTAGGGGCCTTCCCCTTACCTGCGGGCCAGCTCCGCCGCGCTCTCCGTGGCCGCGCCGTTGACCAGCAAGGACACACTGGTCACCGCCCCGGCCAGAAAGGCCTCCACGATGCCATCATCGCGTCGCGGGCAGTAACCAAAGTCGTCCGCGGTGACCACCAGGCGCACGCGAGGGCGGGCCATGGCTGCCTGAATCCACCGCTCGCGCCCTCCGGGGAGTGGGCTGGACAGTCCAGGCCCCGCCCCTGGACGCTGCCCAGGCCCCGCCCCGACGCACATGCTCAGGTGCGGCTGCCCTTCGCCTTTGTTCTCGCCACCTAGCGGTTCGGCGTGGCTCTGCAAGGACTCGGCGGCTGCTCCGGACCTAACCAGACCAGTACTGGATTTACTGCAACGCGGAACTTTCCTTGACTGCAAACGTGGTATTTAATATGGAAAAAAAAAAACAAAAAACGAAAGGAAGCCGGGTGCAGTGGCTCACGCCTGTAATCCCAGCACTGTGGAAGGCCGAGGTGGGTGGTTCACGAAGTCAGGAGTTCAAGACCAGCCTAACTCTACTCAAAATACAAAAATTAGCCGGGCGTGGTGGCATGCGCCTGTAATCCCAGCGAATGGCTTGAACCCGGGAGGCGGAGGTTGTGAGCCGAGATTGCGCCACTGAACTCCAGCCTAGGCGATAGAGCAAGACTCTGTTCCCCCACCCCCCCAAAAAAGAATCTCCTACCCTTCCCAGAGATTGCCATTGTAAAGTTTCTGGGTTGTGTCCTTCCAGTGTTTTCTCTAAGCAAATAAACACACCAAATTCCCTTTCTCCCCAACCAAAGTTTATTTTTGTGTTTTTTGAGAACAGAAAGTGATCACATTCTAGTAGATTCTAAGGTAGCAGTGCAAATAAAAATTTTCATATTATTCGCTATTTTTATTCTTTTTCATATTGCCTATTGGTCTTTTGCTGATTTTTCTAGGAACAGACATTTTCTTTATTTTTTTTTTTCTTGAGCTCTAGAAACTAAGAAAATAGAAAACATACACTAATGGCTTGCTTCATTTGAGAAAACATTGTCTCCTGTTTCCATCTTGAGCTTTCTGCCAGGCTACAGCTTTTACATTCATAACTTCACTGTTTTCTCTTTGGTCCAGAAAAGCTTTCCTTACCCGTGAGTATATCAATAGTCATTATTGTTGGCTGCCATAGTTTTCACCGCAACGTGGCAGTCTTGGTTTTTCCCATGGAAAGTGTGGTATTTGTGTCCAGCCTATGAAATTGGTAATGTCATTCCTGTTTTGTTTTGTTTTGTTTTGAGACAGTTTCGCTGTTGTTACCCAGACTGGAGTGCAATAGCACGATCTCGGCTCACCGCAACCTCTGCCTCCCGGGTTCAAGCAATTCTGCTGCCTCAGCCTCCTGAGTAGCTGGGACTACAGGCGCGCACCACCATGCCCAGCTAATTTTTGTATTTTTAGTAGAGATGGGGTTTCACCTTGTTGACCAGGATGGTCTCAATCTCTTGACCTTGTGATCCACCCGCCTCGGCCTCCCAAAGTGCTGGGATTATAGGCATGAGCCACCGCACCCAGCCTGTCATTCCTGTTTTACAGACGAGGAAACTGGGGCTCAGAGAGGGGAAGTGTGGTCCTGCTAGGAGTAGTGGAGCTAGGACTGAACCTCACAGCTCCAGGCCTGCACCCAGGCCAGCTCTGTTCTCTCTGCCCCTGATCTAGCAGGTAGCCAGAGCTGAGAGGACAGAGCAACAGAGCTTGAGAGTAACAATATTTCATGAAGCATGTGAGGATTGAAAGCCTCGTAGAGTTATTCAGCCATGCTCTTGGCATAAGGACTGCTGTGTTCATAGTGACTAGTGAATTGTCAGACCTCAACCAACCACCATTCTCCATTGGAAGCTGATCTTGGAAAGGTCAGAGGTCTTGAGGGTCTGAAGATGGAAAGGAGACATATTTATTGAGCACCTACTTGGTGCCAGACACTGAAAGTGTTAGAGATTAAGAGCGACTTCCCTCAGTTCTGGCCCCAAAGGAGCACCAGCTGGTAGACAACTCAGCAACATGGTGTGGCAGAGTCTGCAATGGGGTTTACCGTGAATTGAGTCAGGAGTGGCAGAATTCGCCGTAAAAGCTTCTTGAAAGAAGTGACACCATGGTGGGGTATTACTGAGGGGAAAAGGAGGGAGGGAGAGGAGTTGAGAATATACAAGTCTCCATTGGGGTGTCAGGTGTGTTGTAGGGAGATTTTATTGAATCCCCATACTCCCACATTGGAAGAACACTCAAGTGCATTTACAGCGTGGAACCCATGCTAAGAGAGGTTGAGTCACATTGGCAGGAAAGAGCAGAGCCAGGAACTAAAGCTAGGTTGTGGCTTAGAGCCGGCACTCTTTCCACTGCAGAGGGCAGAGGTCTCAAGACAGAACCTGGGGCTGTGCACGCCGCGGGAGGGGCGGAGGCCCCTGGAAACCAACAGGAGCAGGAGGCCCAGGGCTGCGCAGCGACCAGGGAGGACACGAGGAAGGTTGCTTGTGTCACCAGTGGAAGACGTGGTTTGGCTTTTAGACTCTCGCAGGGTCAGGAGCGGATCCCAGAGCCTAACCTCGGTGGTGGGTGGGTCCACCCAGCAGCAGGGAGCGTGGGCACCCTCAGCCTCCGGCTCCCGGGCGAGTGTGGGAGGGGGAAGAGCCCAGAGAATTGGAGGTGGGGCTAATGTGGGCCCTGCCCCCAATCATTGTGTCGGAGTAGAAGGTGGTGGACGAGCTCCTCGGTAAGAACCAATGAGGATGTGGTATGCAAATAAGCAAGCGGAGGGGCCGCGGGGCTACTTCCCCGCCCTGTGCTGCTGCCCCAATGAGGGCGCAGACTGTACTGGCCTGAGCGGAGCAAGGAAGTGTTTCTGGTGAGTCGGTTGATTCTGGGCCGGGGCGAACGCCAGGTGGCCCAGGGTTTGGGAAGAGGGAGAGTCCAGAACACTCAGATCCAAAGATGATCGGAGACAGGATCGCCCTCGGCGATTCCACCCAGACGACTCTGGAATCTGACTGCCCGCAGACGCATGAGGGCCTTGGAGCAGAGGAAGGGCTGGATGCATGCAGGACGCGGGGTGCGGAGAGTGAGGGACTCGCAGACTCCAGGGCCACTGATGCGTGAACCTATCAGAGACCCTCACCTCGTCTCCCCACCCCGCGCAGAGAGGAGTGCGAGGCTGAAGAGAGAGGTGGGCAGCAGGCCCAGCCACCTGCATCATGGTGAGGTGCCGCCACCACTCGGGCTACATGGCCGACGACGAGGCCCGCCACTCCATGTACAGTGCACAAGTAAGTGTGCCCAGCAGGGCCCCGACCCTTGCAGTCCCCAACATGTTCCCCGCCAATTCTGGCGCCCTTGACCACAGCCCCCATTTCTCATTATCTATTGACCTCCTCTCTGGGCCCCTTAGTGAAGTCCTTATTGCCCTTGACTCCTCCTGTGACCCCCTCCCCGCTTACACATCACACTCAATTTTATTCCTTTTTTCCTCCTGACTTCCAGAGACTCAGGAGGTGCTTGGGTAGAGTGGGACCCTGGAGTGGGAGCATGGAGTTGACTAGGTGCCTAGGGCTCAAGCTACAGTAACAGCCCTGGGTAGGACAGGGCTTAAGACCTCAGGTATTGTCTTCAACCCTGCCACGGAGATGGGGCTAGCCTGCTGCATGGACAGATGAAGAGCTGGAGAGAGACTCTGAGAGGTTTATGATCATTCATCCTGCCACGTGTCAGGGCAGTAGCAGGCTTGCAGACTCTTTAGCCAACACCTGTGTGTGTGAAATGCAGGCGTTAGGAAAGCTTCAGGGTGACCCTGAATAGACCTCCACTTTGCAGATGAGGAAATTGGACCTCAAGAGGGGCCATCTTGCACCCTGTCATGAGTCTGTAGGTGGCAGAACCACAGTTCGAACCCAGGGCTTCCAGACTCCAAAATGCAGCTTCTTCTACCACCTACTCCCACCTAGCTCCTAGTGTTACCCTAGGAGGACCCCAGGGAACCTTCATCTGTAGGGCACTCCTGCCCACTGTGACATGCCTGTCTGCTCAGGTGCAGCCACCCAAGAAGCCACTGGTCCCAGAAACGGGGCCAGCCTCCAAGCTGGGCCATGTGCTACACCCACCATCCACATGTGGCAGCCCAGCGCTCCAGGGCCAATGCCGAAACAAGAGGCACCCTCAGCCCTTTGGCCACTTTCTGGATTTCCTGACTGAGAACCAGGTCCTGGACAGCTTGGAGACAGTGGTGGAGGAGGCAACTGAGCGCATGGCTGCCATGAAGACGGAGACTGGGGTGCCACTGGTGGAGGTGCAGGACCCAGTGGAGGTACCAAGTGGTAGGCGGCGGGCCCGTGCCCGGCCCAGCCTCAGCACCGTGCAGCGGCACCGTGCACAACCAAGCCTCTGCACTGGACACCCTAACAACTACCCATTCAGCTCCAGCTCCATGTCCGACTCCCATAGCAGCCTCATGGCTGGCTGGCTGGGCCCCTACGACAGGGACAGTGACCTGGGGGCCCAAGGCTTAGGCTCATTGCCACCTGTAAGGGACAAACTCCTGCTGGAGAAGAACCTCAAGCGGCTGCTACAGCTGGAGAGAAAAGGGGTAAGAGCTGGGGCCTTGGCTGGGTGGTGTGGACTCCCATGGAGAGCCCAGGACCAGGGTCAGCCCTGGCTTGGCTGCTCCTGAACACTTCTCAGAGTCATTATCTTTCTGTAGAAAGGCCTCGGTCAGTCCTGCTCCCAGAGAGACTCCCTGTTGTGGGATTCTCTGGGCAGCCAGACCAGCTGCCAGTGGACCCAGGAGCAGTCCCCATCCTGGTTCACAGGGCTGCTGGACTCAAGCTCTGGCATGCCTGAAGCATCAGAGCTGAGGCATGGAGAACGGGAGCGAATCTTCCACAAGCAAGAGTTCAATAAGGAGCTGAAGTCGTTACTGAGCCAGCTGGAGTCCCTCGACCTGCCTGGCTACTGTCCACTCCGTGAGCCCCACCGCACGCTGAACTTCCTGGCTGAGCACCGCCTCTTCCCCGCCCTGCAGAGCGTGGTCAGTCGGGCTACGGACAAGCTCCGTGGTGCCTGCTGCTGTGACGGCCACCCTCTGTTCCCCACCAGCTTGGAGCCCACCTCAGAGCTGCCCGGACAGGGCAATCTGCAGCCTCCAGGCTCTGAGCCGGCCAATCCCAGCAACACGGGACAGCCCCATGCTTCCCCCCATCCCACAGCCTCCAGCCCCAAGCTGCGTCACAGAAAACACAAGGACAGAGGAGGCTATCCCTCCATGTCTAGCGCCCAGGTGGCCACCAGATTCAAGCTCAAGATGACACCCATGGAGAAGCCCAGTGTCCCCAGTTCCTCACTCCACTCCAGGAAAGAGGTGCCTGACTCAGATCCCAAATTACAAAACCCACCTGTTTCCCTGAGCTCCAGCCGGAGGGCCAAGCCCTGGCAGGGCCTGCACCTCACTCTGCCTGCCCCCGGAATTGTGGTGGAGGTGGATTGCAGCCAGGGCCACCTCAGGGGCCCTGTCACACCTCCGCTTGCCTTCCCCATCCCCACTCTTCCTGCTCCTTTCCCCCCAAGCTCTCCTCAGTTGCCTCCTCATCTCCCGCCTCAGTGTCTGGAGGTGACCTCCTCGAAAGTAGGACCAGGCATGAGTTTGCAGAAGGGTTCCCTGGCCCACCACTCCTAGCAGCCACTGTCACTGGCACTGGCAGGTATTCAAGATCTCTTGCCCGGCACTGTGGAAATCTCCCGGGCAGGGACCAAGCTGATGGGAGCCCAGGAATCCTGGCCTAGCTGCTACCAGGTGTTATCACAGATGAATAAAGGCCATTTTTTATGCTGGGTATTTTTCTAATGTTTGTTTATGAATCTCAGAGACCCTCCTACTTGGAGGTGAAGGGCCCTGTCTCTTCTGGACAGCTGCCCTAGCCGGGCCAGGGCCTTGCCTCCGAGGTCTAGCTCCCTCGAATCCAGCTGCCTTGAGCAGGACTCTCCAGTCGCTGTAGTTTGCCGAGGGGAAGTTGCCCACGGAGGATGTGTACAAGACGTGGGTGGCCTCACCCTGGTGGGTCTCTAGCATAGTCCCTCAACTCTTTCCTAAGCCATCAAGGCCCCTGCAGGCTTCTCTCTGAGCACAGGCCTGGGCGGGAGCCTGCTGGAACCCGGTTGTCAAGGCTCAGATTAGGCTCACCCTGTGACAGGTCCCTGCCCTTGCCCCAGGCCCAACAGGTGTAGGAGGTGTGATAGTGAGGTGAGCAGAGTGGGCAGCTGAGTGCGACGGCATAGCAGATGTGGCAAGGCTGTACCCTTCGTGTAACAAGTTTGTTTGTCACACCAAGTATGCCCAATCATGTTTGTGATGGGTAGGGTTGGCAGGGCTCAGAGGAGGGCACGTGGTTGGGAGGGATGTCACTGGATGGCAGGAGGGATGGGGCCCCCAGGTGTGACATGTGTCCTTTTCCCTCCCCGGCTGCTATGCAGAGCCCCAGCAGCAGCAGGTTCACAAAGAAGAAGCTACTGCCCTCCATCTCGTCAAAGTCCAGCATGTCCCACTTCTCCAACTGCTCTTACGAGGAGCTCGTTGACTTCCTCACCCAGCAGGCAGCCTCCCTGATCATCCGAAAGTATGAGTTTGAAAAGGACCTCAATAAGCAGCTGGGCTTCTTCTCCTTCCCCGTCACCCAAGTGCTCAGGGACCTTTCCCTGGGCTTAAAGAAGGTGAAAGGCTCCCATAACCACCAGTCCTCGGAGATCCATCTGAGCTGCCTGCTGCGTAAGCTGGAGGAGGCCAAAAGGGCCCAGCAGGACTTCTTGCTCAGCACCTTCCACCGCAGCCCAGAGACGCCCTCTGTGCTGCAGGAGCTGGCCACCCACACCGTCCAGGACCAGACCACAGAGCCCTGCCACTCTCTTTACACCGACTTGCCAGCCAGCCAACAGCTCAGCCCATTGGAGCCCAGGCTCTCAGTGTCTGCCCACACCGGCATGGGTTCCAGTCCCCCCAGGTCCAAGGACATGGACAGTGAGGGCCATGATAAGGTCGAGCTTGAAGATGAAAATGAGGATGAGGATGAGGAGCAGGATGAGGACAGGGATGAGAGTGGAGTCCAGAGCCTCCCAGAGCCTGGAGAGGAGGCCTCGGTCAGCCACCCTGTGGACCTGGGCCACAGTGACCCATCTTGAGGTCCCCACTGGCCACTTGATTCCTTGCTCTGTCAGAGTTGCTGCTCATCACACCAGCCCCTGGGCTGAATGCCCACAAGGAGCTCTGCTGAGACTCTCAGGGGAGCCAGTGAAAGATATAGCAATATAGCCTGTGTTGCTGAGACACAGGTTTCTTGTCCTGAGATTTCAGCCTCCATTTCATTTATTTGTTTGTTTACCTATTTTTTTTTTTTTTTTTTGAGACGGAGTTTCGCTGTTGTTACCCAGGCTGGAGTACAACGGTGAGATCTCCGCTCACCGCAACCTCTGCCTCCTGGGTTCAAGCAATTCTCCTGCCTCAGCCTCCTGAGTAGCTGGGACTATAGGCACGCGCCACCATGCCCAGCTAATTTTTGTATTTTTAGTAGAGATGGGGTTTCACCTTGTTGACCAGGATGGTCTCGATCTCTTGACCTTGTGATCCACCCACCTCGGCCTCCCAAAGTGCTGGGATTATAGGCATGAGCCACTGTGCCCGGCTTGTTTACCTATTTTTAAGAGGAAGTGTTGGCCAGGCTCATGCCTGTAATCCCAACACTTTGAGAGGCTGATGTGGGCAGATCACTCGAGGCCAGGAGTTGGAGACCAGCCTGGGCAATATGATGAAACCCCGTCTCTACTAAATACAAAAATTAGCCAGGTATGGTGGTAGGTGCCTGTAATGCCAGCTACTCGGGAGGCTGAGGCAGGAGAATGGCTTTAACCTGGGAAGCAGAGGTTTCAGTGAGCCGAGATCCCACCACTTCACTCCAGCCTGGGCAACAGAGTGACACTGTGACTCAAAAAAAAAAAAAGAAAAGATGCAGTCTTGCTCTGTTGCCCAGGCTGAAGTACAGTGGCATGATCTCAGCTCACTGTAACCTCCACTTCCTGGCTTCAAACGAGTCTGCCGCCTCAGCCTCCTGAGTTGCTGGGACTACAGGCAACTGCCACCCTGCCTGGCTAATTTTTGTATTTTTAGTAGAGACAGGGTTTCACTATGCTGGCCAGGCTGGTCTTGAACTCCTGACCTCAAGTGATCCACCAACCTCAGCATGCCAAAGTGCAGGGATTACAGACATGAGCCACCACACACGTCCACTAATTTTTTTTTTTTTTTGTATTTTTAGTAGAGACAGGGTTTTGCAATGTTGGACAGGCTGGTCTTGAAATCCTGACCTCAGATGATCTGCTCACCGCAGCCTCCCAAAGTGCTGGGATTACAGGTGTGAACTACTGCACCTGGATTTTTTTTTTTTTTTTTTTTAAGATGGAGTCTCATACTCTGTTGCCCAGGCTGGAGTGCAGTGGCATGATCTCAACTCAACACAACCTCCACCTCCCGGGTTCAAGCGATTCTCCTGCCTCTGTCTCCTGAGTAGCTGGGACTACAGGCACACACCACCACGCCCAGCTAATTTTTACATTTTTAGTAGAGACAGGGTTTCACTATATTGACCAGGATGGTCTCGAACTCTCGACCTTGTGATCCAGCTGCCTCGGCCTCCCAAAGTGCTGGAATTAACAGACATGAGTCACAGACCCCAGCCCACTTTTTTTTTTTTTTTTTTGAGACGGAGTTCAGCTCTTGTTACCCAGGCTGGAGTGCAATGGCATGATCTCAGCTCACCACAACCTCCGCCTCCTGGGTTCAGGCAATTCTCCTGCCTCAGCCTCCTGAGTAGCTGGGATTACAGGCACGTGCCACCGTGCCCCGCTAATTTTTTGTATTTTTAGTAGAGACAGGGTTTCACCATTTTGACCAGGATGGTCTCGATCTCTTGACCTTGTGATCCACCCGCCTTGGCCTCCCAAAGTGCTGGGATTATAGGCGTGAACCACCGCGCCCGGCCTTTTTTTTTTTTTTTTTTTTTTTAAAGACAGGGTTTCACTCCTGTTGCCCAGGCTGGAACGCAATGGCACAATATTGGCCCATTGCAACCTCCACCTCCTTGGCTCAAGCAGTTCTCCTGCCTCAGCCTCCTGAGTAGCTGACACTTCAGGTGCGTGCCACCACACTCAGCTAATTTTTGTATTTTGTACTAAAGTAGAGATGGGATTTCACTATGTTAGGCTGGTCTTGAGGTCCTAACCTCAGGTGATCTGCCCACCTGAGGTCACAATTCAAGACCAGCCAGGCCAACATGGTGAAACCCGTCTCGATTAAAAATACAAACTTCAGCCCTGTGAGGTGGCACATGCCTGTAATCCCAGCTATTCACAGGACTGAGGCAGAAGAATCGCTTGAACCCAGGAAGCAGAGGTTTCAGTGAGCCGAATGACTTGGGTTTCATTAATTTCGGGGTCCGGGGACTCAAGGACCAGGCGATTCAGTGACTCTTACTTTGTAACCACAAAGTTTAGTGATCTAACAACCTCAAGACCCTGCCCGTGCGGGCCCAGGTTCTGAAGGGAGAGACTCAATACTGAGGACCCAAGAGTCCAGGGCCAAGGGAGTCGTGAACACGTGCCTGCAGAGCCCTAGGATCCTGAGCCGGTGTACAGGGACTGAGCGGCCGCTGGAGTCGGCGTCCTCACTAACTGCTCTCTCTCACTTGCCGCCGCTTGGCTTCTTAGCCGCCCTTTCCTGGACACTCATTGGTAAGACATTGGAAGCGTGGACCAATCAAAGCCCTCCTCGTGTCTCTAGTCCCCGCCCAGCTACTCCTCTCGAGAGCTGGAGGCGGCCCTTCTGCGCGCCGACCCAATGGCATTGCAAGCCGAGCACCGCGCGGGCCGACCATTGGCTGCCGCGAGCGGCCGCTGTCAGAACCGGATTGGGCCGCGGTGGGGACGGAAGCGGCCCAAAGGCCGGAGCGGCTGGAGCCTGGCCGGGGAGATGTGGATCGCGGGCTGCGGCGGGGCTACCGGGCCGGTGCTGCTGGGGCTGCTACTGGAGCTCTTAGTGCCGGGCGGTGGTGCCGCCAAGACCGGCGCGGGGCTCGTGACCTGCGGGTCGGTGCTGAAGCTGCTCAATACGCACCATCGGGTGCGGCTGCACTCGCACGACATCAAATACGGATCCGGTGCGTGGGGCCCGCGACTGGGAGAGCGCCAGGGACGGGGGCTCGGGGTCGGGAGTGTGGAGACAGGGTGGTCGTGGGGGGTCTGTGGCCCGTCTCAGAGCCGGGAGGCGAGGGCTCTAGAGCCGTTGGGGGATCGAGGGGTGCAAGGCTTTGAGGGTGTCGACGATATTGAGGGCGGGGACAGCTGTCGGGGAACTGCGGGCCCAAAGACTGAGGGGGGTGTCAGACGGGGGCCGGGGCTGGGGCGAGATGTTGGGGTCCCCCGGGAAATGTTACGGTCCCAGGGCGAGGATCCGGGGGTTCCGGGATTGACAGAGACCCTGGGTGGGGTGGGGTGGGGTGTCACCCCTCAGGCAGCGGCCAGCAATCCGTGACCGGCGTGGAGTCATCCGACGACGCCAATAGCTACTGGCGGATCCGCGGCGGCTCGGAGGGCGGGTGCCCGCGCGGGTCCCCGGTGCGCTGCGGGCAGGCCGTGCGGCTCACGCACGTGCTCACCGGCAAGAACCTGCACACGCACCACTTTCCGTCGCCGCTGTCCAACAACCAGGTGAGCCCCTCCCGGAGCCCCCAGAGAGACTCCTGGCCTGTGGGAGGCGCCGGAGACAGCGCCGTGGGCTCCAATGCGAGCCTCAGCTTCTTCGTGAAATGGAAATTTCACTTCAGAGATGGTTACTGAGCGCCCTCTCGGGGGACACAGAGTAACTCTGCCAGGGTCCCGCCCCCAGGTGCTCCCGGCCTGGCAAGGAGACCCACGGGAATAAAGATCCGGAGAGATCCGCCTAAATCACTCCTCTGGGGGCAAGTGGGACCCAGGAGGGGAATCCACACAGCCCTTGAAGGTGGGGAATAGGAAACTCCACAGGGGAGGAGAAACTCAGGCTGGGTCTGAAAAGATGTCCTCCAAGCCACAGAGGGAAAAGAGGGACTGCCCAAGCCAGCAGAAGAGATTGTGCCAATGCATGGAGGTCATTGGAATTCAGGGGGTTGAGATTGAACAGTGGGTGTCCTTGGGGAGTTGGTGGAAGAAAATGTTGAGATAGAGAGCTTGACTGTTAGCCTGAAGGGCTGAATTTTAGGCTGATCCCAAGGTGCATCAGAGAAGTTAGGACTGGGAGAACATGGAGGAGGAGGCAGCTCCGTGGGGGCCAGTGGTCTCTGCACAGACAGATGCAATGGTGTGTGTATGTGTCTGAAGAGCCCGTGTGGGGAGGGAGTGCTCGAGGTTGGGGGACTGGGGTCATGGTGTCACCGTTTGCAGCTGTGGGAGCTGAGGCTCTGGGAAGGGCAGGGAAGGACCTGAGGCTCAGTGCACTAGGTACGAATGCTGCCTTCTGTGGTGACCGCTGTCCCCTCACCTTCTGCACCTGTAGGAGGTGAGTGCCTTTGGGGAAGACGGCGAGGGTGATGACCTCGACCTATGGACAGTCCGCTGCTCTGGACAGCACTGGGAGCGTGAGGCCGCTGTGCGCTTCCAGCACGTGGGCACCTCTGTGTTCCTGTCGGTCACGGGTGAGCAGTACGGAAGCCCCATCCGTGGGCAGCATGAGGTCCACGGCATGCCCAGTGCCAACACGTACAATACGTGGAAGGCCATGGAAGGCATCTTCATCAAGCCTAGTGTGGAGCCCTCTGCAGGTCACGACGAACTCTGAGTGTGGGGATGGGTGGATGGAGGGTGGCAGGTGGGACATCTGTAGGGCCACTTTTGGCAGAGACTTTGGGTTTGTAGGGGTCCTCAAGTGCCTTTGTGATTAAAGAATGTTGGTCTATAATTCTGTTTCACTGTGAACCTGAGGATGACCAGGAGGTGCCAGTCCAGGACTAGCTGATCATCTCTCCCTCAGTGTAAAACCTGTCTCCAGCCCAGCCTAACTGCTGAACCTGTCCAAACCCTTTATTGTTGTTGTTGGGGTTTTTTGGGGGGGTTTTGCTTTTTTAGAGATGGTCTCACTCTGTTGCCCAATCTGGAGTGCAGTGGCATGATCATGGCTTACTGTAAACTTGAACTCCTGGGCTCAAGTGATCTTTCCAATTCAGCCTCCTGAGTAGCTGGGACTGCAGGCACATACCACCATGCCCAAATAATTATTATTTCTGATGAGACAGGGTCTTGGTGTATCATCCAGGCTGGAGTGCAGTGGCAATGATTGTAGCTCACTGCAGCCTGGGCTCAAGTGATTTTCCCACCTCAGCCTCCCAAGTAGCTGGGACTACAAGCTTGTGCCACCATGCCTGGCTAATTTTAAAAATTGTGCTAGTGGAGACAAGGTCTCACTGTGTTGCCCTGGCTGGTCTCAAACTTCTGAGCTCAAGTGATCCACCTCTGTCCTCATAAAGTGCTGGGATTACAGTTGTGTTATTTTTATTTTGAGACTCACTATTTTGCCCTATTTTATTTTGAGTCTCACTATTTTGCCCTGGCTGGACTCAAACTTCATGGCTTAAGCCTCTTCCTGCCTCATTCTCTCAAGTGGCTGGGATTACAGGCAGGTGCCACTGTGCAATCTAAAGCTTTTTAGTGGTTTTCCATGCGCTCCAGTGCTGCCTTGGGCCTCCCCCTGTCCACCCTGAGGCATCTGATGGCAAGTGACCCCACTTCCCCAGCCCCTAAGCTTTATGAACGTCCCTATTAAGGGCCATGGCCAGACCTCAGAGCAGGATGAATGGGAACCCCCTTCTCTGTCAGCTGGGATGGGGCACAAGCTCTCCAGCTCCCTCATACCTAGATGTGAGGAGCTCATTCTCCTGTTAGTTGTGGCAGTCTTGACACCTGTCTTTGAGCAAGGGATAAGTGAGGATTCTGCCCATATGCTGAAATTTAGCATCACAGTTTCTCTTACTTGGTGCAAATAGCACCCTACCCCACCCCAGCCTGCCTAGGCACATAGCATCTCAGGCTCCCACCACAACCTTTGAACGACTCAATGAGATCACAGAACTACAGAAAATATTGCAAGGGAAGGCAGCCACATAAAACTGCTACCTGCAGAGATCTGAGAAGGCTTCCTGGAAGAGGAGGCACAATTTGGGCAGGCAGAGTATTCTACCTTAAAGTCAGGAGCAGACGAAATAGGAGAGCCCTAATAAAGATAACTGTTAGCTTTGCTGGTGTGTGGGTGGCCTCTAGCGGTGATGGCAGAGATTACAGGCTTCCTGGACTTGCTAACTCAGCTGGGCTGCTGAAGGGCTGGCTGCCTGGGACCTGGGAGCTGCTGAGTATAATGATTTGCTTCCCTGAAGGAGAACAA